TAATGCAAAAATTAAGGACCACAATAGTTGAGAACGACTATGTGCCTGCTAATTAAGGTCTTCCGTTTCCAACGGAAGACCTTCTACTGATTCTGTTGGTAAAGATTATCTTTCTTTTTTTTTCTTCTACTTCCTAGACGCCAACTTTGAGGCCTCATATCTCACTCATTTATCTACGGACTTTATTCAAATTTTCAGACATTATTTAACTCTATCAGAGTGGTATCTAACATTTCAAAAAATCACTTCCGCTTTTTAGTTATTCCCCTGTAAACGAAAATTTTTAGGCTTTCGTTTCCGGATAAAGGCTCAGAGAAGGCTAAAGCTGGAGCAGGAATTCTACTGATTTTAGGTAATAGAAGGGTTGAAGTTGTGCACATCGGTTTTTGTTTTTCGATTTCTGTATTCAAAGTGGCGTTCTATAGGGGTAAAAAAATAGAACACTTCAAAGAACCAAAAAATTACTCATATTTTTCTTTTTATCTTCTAAAAAATTATTTTGTTAAAATATATAGAACATAATTTGTGCAAAATTAGAAGATCTTTCAAATGAGATGTCGAAAAAAGGACTGACCCCTAAATTAAGGGACATAGAGGGGCCAAAAGTTTTTTTTTCCAGATATCTCAACAAGAGGCCCAGGGGCCACATCGCTTACCTGAGCAATTGGATAGGAAAAAGCACATATCAGATCAGAACTGAAAGTTAATTAGGGGTTGAGGGGGGGGGGACTTCAACTCTCCAGGGGGTCTTGATTTGAATTAACTTGAATCTACACTACCTGAAAATGATTCCACATGAGTTTCATCTTTCCTGGCCCAGTGGTTCTTGAGAAGAAGATTTTTAAAGATTTTTCCTATATATTCCTATGTAAAACTTTGATAGGCCATTTTGGCCCCACCCTACCCCCGGGGGTCATGATTTGAACAAACTTGAATCTAAACTACATGAGGATGATTCCACATGAGTTTCATCTTTCCTGGCCCAGTGGTTCATGAGAAGAAGATTTTTAAAGATTTGTCCTATATATTCCTTTGTAAAAATTTGATCGGCCATTTTGGCCCCACCCTACCCCCGGGGGTCATGATTTGAACAAACTTAAATCTAAACTACATGAGGATGATTCCACATGAGTTTCATCTTTCCTGGCCCAGTGGTTCATGAGAAGAAGATTTTTAAAGATTTGTCCTATATATTCGTATGTAAAAATTTGATCGGCCATTTTGGCCTCACCTTACCCCCTGGGGTTATGATTTGAACAAACTTGAATCTACGCTACCTTAGGATGATTTCACATGAGTTTCATCTTTCCTGGCCCAGTGGTTCTTGAGAAGAAGATTTTTTAATAATGCCATTATTTTTTCTCTAATTAATGATTATCTCCCCTTGGAAAAGGGCGTGGCCCTTCATTTGAACAAACTTGAATCACCTTCACCCAAGGATACTTTGTAGCAAGTTTGGTTGAAATTGGCCCAGTGGTTCTTGAGAAGAAGATGAAAATGTGAAAAGTTAACAACGACAACAACGACAACAACAACAACGACTACGACGACAACGACAGACAACGGACAAATTTTGATCAGAAAAGCTCACTTGAGCCTTTGGCTCAGGTGAGCTAAAAAGTATTGAGAATTTGTTATGCATCAAAGAAGCAAAGTTGTTCAAAATATCAAGCTTTATTTAATGGGGTCGTCACTTCCGGTCGAACCGGAAGAAGTCAGAAAATGCATATTTTTTCCGTTCTTGACAGGTTTTTGGGTAACATGTCTCACAAGAAGCTTAAATATTAATTTTCCGTCCATCGTCGTCACTTCCAGTCAAACCAGAAGTACCAAAGAATGGCTTAATTTTGCTATACTTAACATAGATTTCGAGGAATAACCCTTTTTTGGACTTCATTACTCTTTTTTTTAAAATAAGTTACTTCCGGTCAAACAGGACGGAAGACCTACTCGTTGCTTTGCAACGAGCTCGGCTCTAGTTGGTCAGTAATTATTGTATATTCATGCATGGCTACATGTAGAGGCGGTAAAGGGTGTTTTACAGCTAGATGTAGATGAAAACATGCTTATTACCGTTTGCATATTTAATAAAATATTAACTTTGAAAAAAGAAATTATTTTATATACATCCGAGTAACCGAGTATCTATTTTTAGTATTCAATACTTGGACGTTGGATCGAGTACCCGGTTAAGTTGACGTCCCTAGAAAATATATTAAATATATCATAAAGGGCTTTTTGAAGTCCTTGATTTCATTTATCAAAAGTCGGATAAATTATAAAGGAATATTTGCTAAATATAATTATGATATATTCTTAATTTTTTTTTACTTATTCACTTTGTAGAAAATTCTAACAAGAGACAGTTGTCAGGAGAACGGTGGAGACAATCTCCAGAAAAGAAAACGCTTCTGATATTAGGATGCATGTAACCAATATTTTACGATCCCACAAATCAAGTTTACCACAGGAATAAAAAAAAAATTTGTCTGGCGTTCAAGAGTCTGGCATGGTAGGAGCTCTCCTGAAAAATATCCATTTATTGTGGACATCATGACACAAGACTCACCTGTCATCAGCATAGAGACTTGTGATTTGTTCTATCTGGGCCATACATGTATTGAATCAAAACATTTTATAGAATCACAAGCACGTTGTAAATCTATTTAAGGTCTTCTAAGTATGTTGCATCCTTATTTGATTTGCAACTTAACAAGACTTTGTTTCATTGGTACTATGTCAACTTAATATACAGAAAAAATCAAAAGCAGTTGTGATGTTCATTGTTTTCTATTGCTCATTAGTACTCATTTTTATGTGAAATGTAATACAATTATCCATTTCTTGCTCCCAAAAACCATACCTTACAAATTTAATGTAAAACAGCAACTTGCGTTTCAATTTTATCTTGTTATACTTTACAAAAATAAATGTTAAAATGATCATATTGTTATTAACTTCACCTATTCTCATCTCTCTTCTTCAAAAGGGAGACATATTGTTAATTCTTATTCTTTAGATTCAATCCTTCAAAATATTTATTACCCCCCCCCCCCTTAATCAGTACTTTTGATTGTGAATTTGGCGTGTCATATATATCAGTTCAAATATTATTAGCTTAATCTTGATGTCACCAGTGTATATATATATTTCGTCCTTTTATCGCCTATCTATTCTGTGTCAAAGGGGTTAAAGAAGAGACCATAATGCTTTGAACCCTTGATCGACCCCTAAGGTACTCAGATTGGAGAGAACAAGAATTAAACAACGATGAACCCGGTGCAACACCGCATGCAATACATTTATTATACCCCCGCTTGCAAATAGGGAGGGTAGATAGCAATTGGTATGTCCGTCCGTTCATCTGTTACGCTTTGGGTTACCCATTTTCTCCTTTTAGATAATTATGAACCAGTTCTACGGGGCTATGTAAATATCTTACACATAGTCCCTCATTTCAAATAATACTGTGATCTACAGCATCAAAAGCAGTTGAAAGGTCAATACAAACTGAATATCTGTATCCAATATGTCATTGAATGAAGTGTAAAATTGTCGAATAGCAAAATATGTCAAATTTAGTGATCATTAAATAGGTAATTCCCCTTTGTTCTCAAAAAATGCCTCCATCAAACAGAATGAATTTGATATACAGGATTTTCCTTCAAACCTATCATTTACAAATTTCGTTTCAAAGAAGCAAACTTTTGAAAATAATCTAATAACAATTATAATACACCCGAAAATAAAAATATGCACATAAAATAGCGCTTGAGACACTGCAGTATCGAAGTTTGTCTAGAGTTTAAGCATGTGGACTTTATGTGACAAATCTTTTACCTGAGAATGATTTAGAAGCAAGAAAAAACTTGAAATTTTTTTAAATATTGGAAGAGATATGTAACTTCATTTTGATAAAGGAAGACAGAAGAAAAAATATCAAAACAGTTTTGCTCATATTTTTATCAAGCATTATCATTTTAAGTATTTAAAAGTTTTCATACTTATTTTTGTTCTTTATTGTTCTGTTATATAGTGGCTTATATTTGACTTCAAACAGCTAAACTGATTCATTAAATTGAATTTCGTGGATATAACATCAACAGCGTCGTTGATAAAATTATCTTAAAATATTGAAAAATATAAATGTACATCATCTACAAAATATCTTTCAAAATGATGCGCAAGGTACATTATCCAATAATAGTACCTTTAATTGTTCTTACCTTTCTCGTGCATTATGGCAACAGTGACCGTAGAAAAAGACAAGGTGGGAAAAGAAGTTAAATAACAGGTCGCTAGTTTATTGTAGGAAAACTATACATGAAATGAACTTGAAATGTTTTGTTATACTAAGCTGGACATACATGTACATGGACCCACCATAAAAATAAAGTCATCTACGTAGCAGTATTATCAGCCGCAGGCAGCCGGTCTATTTTTTTTTATATCCCGCTTTAAAAGTTGGGGTATGCTGTCATCGGCATGTCCGTCGATCCATCTGTATGTTTGTCCAACACACATCAAAGGCATGAGTAAAAATTTCTAAAAAATTCTTTATTCTTTGTCTTAATGATTGTTATTGGGTTTGAATTTTTTTTATTTCTCATAAGATAGTCATGATCTATGTTTTTTTTTTTAAGTTGCTCCTAAAAACGGGCGTGTATAATATTTTGAAACAAAACGTTTATTGATTTTCCAGATCAAATTACAGTGCCTAAAATAATATCAGATAATTTGTTAAAGCTTCTATTTGTACAGAATAATCACATGCTTTATTATGTTGTTTTTAGATTTGCCATGCGTTAAATACGTAAAAGTTTGGGAATGACAATGCATTGTCAACTTTTTAACGGTGATTAGGCAACTAACAAAAATGATTATAAAGTAAAATAAAAACGTGTACATGTATCAACTTAACTTATTTACACTTTGTAAAGGATTAACTAATTTTCAATGCTCCCAATTTTTTTTCACGAAAAATTCTCAAAAATAATTACCTGTAGCAATTCTTTTGAGAGACACCAATTCTTCATCGGAAATCTCTTTGATAAGGTCTATCAAAAGGTCGCTAAATCTGATTGAAGTTCCATTCTTGCGAAAGATTTCTGTAAGACCATTAACTACTAAATAAAAAATATAGAACAAAAAATTAATGTTTTTGGATATATATGTAAAGAGAGAGAGAGAGAGAGGGAGAGAGAGAGAGAGAGAGAGAGAGAGAGAGAGAGAATGATAGCTAGAAAGACATTCCTTTATTCAAGAAAAATCTTTTGTGTGTTTTTTTAATTATCCAGGAGTTCTGGGAAAAAAATATGTGAAAAGTTAACGAACAGACGGACAGCTAGAGAGTTGTACAGACTGATTCTAAACTTCTGAATGTGAGTACTTTGAAAGAGGTACAATATTTAAAATGTAATTTTTTATGAATTTTTCGGAATAGTTCAAAGCTGAAAATTAATTCCATGTCATAATAGTTTATAAGTGATCAATGTTGAACAAATGCAGATTTCAGAAAACAGTATGGTTATAAATAAAAACTCGCAGACTGTAATTTTCATAAAAATATATTATCTTGGTCTAGCTCCTTTTCGTAATGTAGACAAAAAAGGCGAAAAGAGAGAGTGATTTATAATAACAAAAATGATTTTGTTAGATGTACCTTTCGAAATGATCTGTTCTCACTAATTATTTTTATTCAGTGTATATTGATTATCTCATTTGCTGACTCAATTCAAGCAGATGTGTGAATTCAAGGTACATGTGTAATGTACACAAACGATGTACATGTTGGAAAATCATGCCTCCTTTTATCGCACACACTGGTTAATTTTAGCCTGGAGAGTAAAGGGATAGAAAATTACTTTAATAAATTAAGATGAATTAAAAGGAAAGACAAAATGTTCACTTTTTTGAATAAAGTTTGTTAATGACAAATTTAAATCAATGAATTTGAATTTTCTTTAGATCGATTTTTAAAACCAAAAGTAGACAAACACTCAGAAAATTCAAGCAAAATATCAGTAATTGACTATGATTAACAAGCAAATTCAAAGAATTGTGGTCCCCCGCTTTCGGTGTCTTTATGGGTGAGATGTCAAATATGAACGCCCTATCATATGTCATTAAGAAATTATCAAAGTTGATTTTTTTAAGAATAAGGTCAATCGTGAAGGCCAAGGTCAAGGAGTCAGAAATCATAGCATGCTTGGAAATATCTTGTCATAGGTAATACACATGTATAATATGAAAGCCCTATCTCTACTCAATCAAAAACATTGATGATCCCGTATGGCAACAAAGCGAAGATTATAATTTTTAAAATGTGAAATTAAATATATTGCCAAAATTGGTACTCAAATTTTAAAAAGGAGGTCAAACTGCAAGGTCAAGGTAAAAGGGTAAAAGTTCTTGGTATCCAGTGAAAGGTCTTCTCACAAGGATTACTTATGTGACGTATGAAAGCCCTAGCCCTCACCATTCAAAAGTTATGGCCAAGGTTAAATCTTTTAAAAAGTAGGTCAAACTCCATGATCAAAGTCAAAAGGTGTAAGTGCTTGATATCAAATGAAATGTCTTGTCACAAGGATTAAATATTTGAGGTATGAAAACCCTAGCCCTATCCTTCACAAAAATTGTGGCCAATGTTAGTTTTTTTTAAAACTGGGCCAAACTCCAAGGTCAAGGTCAGAAGGTCAAAGTTCTTGTTATCCCATGAAAGGACTTTGCTCAAGGATTATATATATGAAGTGTGAAAGCCCTAGTCCTTACCGTTTTAAAGTTATGGCCAAGGTTAATGTTTTTTCATAAGTACAGAAATCTCCAAGGTCAAGGACAAAAGGTCAAAATTCTTGACATCCGATGAAAGGTCTTGCCACAAGCAATACATATGTGAAATATAAAAGTCCTAGTATCTACCGTTCAAAAGATATGCTCAAAATAACAAAAATAAAATTTTTGTGTAAAAGTGGGTCAAACTCCAAGGTCAAGGTCAAAAGGTCAAATTTGGTGGTACCCAAAGAAAGATCTTGTCACAAGGAATATACATATGAAATATGAAAATCATGGGTCCACTTAATCAAAAGTTATGGGCAAGGTTAAAGTTTTTGTGACGGACGGACAGACAGATAGATAGACAGACAGACAGACAGACAGACAGACAGACAGGCTTACAGACAGACAAATGAGATTTAATGTCCCCTCGCTTTCGCGAAAGCGGGGGACAAAAAGATAAGGGTTTGAAAACAAATGACTACATTGTTAAGTAAAGTAAATATTTTTAATTCATGTTTAATAAACATTGACTCAATGTCTAACATGCTGAATTAATCCAAGTTTTAAACCTGATTTATAATTCCTCTTTTTACAATACTCTTTTTGTTTGTAGAATTGTTTCTTCATATATTGTACCATAACAATGTTATATATCTATACAAGATCTGTAACTCCCTTACCAGGCAAAAAAAAAAAATACAATGAACAAGAGCTGCATGTCAACTTGATAATATCATCTTACGCCTTGTCAAGAGCTGTCAACTTGATATCATCTTTAGTGTATGAAATTAGAATTGATTGCTATATTAGTTTTGGAATAGGATTCATCTTTAGAATTCGCAATTTAAAAACAATACCTGTGTAAAAACAATTGGATTCATTGATTGTATATCGTTTTAACGTCCATGTCGATAATTTTTCACTCATATGGAGACGTCACCGTATGCTGGTGAAGGACTTCAAATTTGGACCTATATTCGGCAGTCAGGGCCTTTGAGCAGTGAGGTTTCTTTATCGTGCCAGCGCCTATCGTGACCTACGTTTTCAGGTCATATCCGAAAGAACGGTGACTTTCGTTTCTAGTGACGAGCGCTTGGCAAAGGAACAGTCACTACCTTTGTTTACGTTTCAGGTATGGCGCGGCGCCGCAAACGAGAATTTAAATTGGAAATACGGATATTAATTATGTTTATACATGTAGCATAAACATTTGTCATGAGACATGTTATGTTGAAATCAGTGGGAGCATTGCATTTAAAATTGTCTCGGTACCATGAGATAAAAAGTTATTACAGGTTAAAATCAGATTAATTTAAAAATGTTCAATTTCTTTCGTAATTTTGTTCCTTTTCTTAAATTGAAAGACGTATTCCGTGGATTTTTCAACCAGTTGTACCAAGTTGACTTTTATTCTCACAATAACATAATTCTCACAATAACAAAACCATCTATACGAGGGTTGTTCGTAAAGTTCGTGGACAAGCTCAAATTTAAAGAAAGATGGTGTCATTGATATATATTATTAACATATTTATAATCCTATAGTAAATATCAATTATAAAATGTAAAATAATATTCAATTTCAAATAGATATCTATAATAATGACTTCATTATTAGACTTGGGATGGTGACCCGGAGCACCGCAAAATTTTAATTAAAAAAGTTATTTATCACTTTGTAAATTTCATTTGTATTTGTAAACTTCTGCGGAAATTCAGATTGCTTTTACATTACGAGGTTGTCAAAAGTAATAACTACAAATCTGCAAAATTTGAACGTTCAGAGTTCAGAAGTGACTGAGAAATCTAGGTAAGAATCTATTAAGACAGGATCGGCTTTGTTCGAAAAGGGGACGTTTTCAGAGCAGTGGGCAGTGATAAAATTCTGCGTAGACATCAGGAAAACTCCAACAGAGACCCTTAAATGCTGTAAACATTCGGCAAAATATAGTATAGAAAGCCGTTCATAAGTGTTTAATTGAAAATAAAATTTTCAGACGGAAGGAACAGTTAACAGGATGACATGCGTGAAGGAAGACCTAATTCCGAGATTGCGGTGCTGTAAAAAGTTAATTTCGTAACTTGATTTTGCCGTAAATCCTTGAATAAAGTCGTTTTTACGCGGTCAGAGGTCGGTTGATTGCAGGATATGAGACAGGCATTGTTAAATATTATTTTACTTTTGAAACCAGAACATTTTGTGAATATTTTTATGACTTGTTAAAGCAACATAAGAAATGTTTTGAGTTAAACGGTGACTATGTTGAAAAAAGTTACAAGTATTAAGGAACTCTTCTGAGATTGTTTGAAATGTTCTTGTTGAATGTGACAGATGAAGGGCATATAGTGCTTTAAATGTCGAAATAGTGTGATAATTCAGTAGCGATAATTATCACTCCTAATGGACTGAGTATACCAATTGTTTTGAATGTGAATTTTAACAAATACAGCATAACTATATCATTTCAACAAGACAAATATGCCACTATTCTGAGCTATTTGGAAGAAGAACTTAAAGCAATTAAAGAAGAAGGGTAGAATGGTAAGATTTTCAAGTCTGAGTGCAATACTGTGACAGCCAAACTCTATTCGGGCACCAGCGTCCTGCACATTCAAGGATGGTCGGAAAACTCGAGGCTGGATAAATTTCTGTATAACATAAAAAAAATCTAACAGCACTCGAAGTATGTTGCAGTTGGAACAATCTATTCCACAAATGTCATCAACGCCTGTAAAAAACGATTCTCTTCTGACAGCCAGTACTGATGATATTCAAAAGTGTACACAGTATGCGGCTTCAACACCAAAAGCAGAAAATATACTATGTAAAATCAATGAACTCGGAGAATGCAGCAACTGCAATAGTGCAACTACGATAAAACAGCTTACTGAGACTGTTAAATTCCTTACCCTTGAGATAGAAAAACTGAAAGAAAAACTCAGCACTCAAGAATCCACATCATCAAACCTACAAACTGGCAGTTAAACACAAGCTTGGAGACATCTACAGAAAGGTTTACAATGTTGTCTGTTGGCATTTCTAGACATGAGCAGTGCAACACTGTTAATTCCGTGACTGATCCGAGCACAAACACAGAGATTTGCGTCCCAGAATTAGAAGAGGAAACCCCGAGGGCCCTAAAAGCAACAAATGATGAAGAACTACAATTACGAAGTGGATCATCTCATCTCTCATAATTCGAAGTTCGATCCTGCAAATAGTGAGAGCCCGTGGATTGAATAAATCTGTAAGAGTTTCCACGAACAGAGGAGCCAAAATCTCGCATATCAAAGCAAAATTGGCCAAAACGGATGTATCGCCCTTACGTTATATTGTCATTCAGGTGGGTGG